TGTCAAGGCAATATTAAAGAAGAAAAGGTAAGAAAAATTACTCTCCCAAACTTATAAAAAAAGCTGTAGTAACTATGGTAACTATGACAGTTTTACTTAGTGGTACTGATGTAAAGACAGAAAAATGAACAATACAGAATATAGAAATAGACACACATGTATCTGAATATTTGATTTATGGCAATGGTGGCACCATAGAGCAGTGCGTAAGACAGTCTTTTCAATAAATGGTGCTAGGTCAAAAGCATATCCATATGGGAAAATGAAAACCTCATACAATATACAAAAATCAATTCCAGATGGACTTTAGATCTAAATGTAAAAGCGATAGCAACAAATCTTCTAGAAGATAACATAAGAGAATATCTACAAGTCCTTAGGGTAAGAAAAGATTTCTTAAGTAGGACACAAATAGGATACAAAAAAAGCACAAACCATAAAGGAAAATAATGAAATCATAGGATTATATTGAAATTGAGAACTTTTGTTCACTAAAGACCCCAATAAGAGAGTGAAAAATCAATTCACAGAGTGGGAGAGGATATTTGCAATATGGATAACTGACAAAGGGCTTGTATTGAGATTATGTAAAGAACTCAATAAGAAATAAAAGAAACCAATAGGACAAATGGGCAAAGGCCTTGACTAGGCACTTCACAGAAGAGGACACCCAAACAGCCAATGAATACAGTCATGTGCCGCAGAACATTTCAGTCAACGACAGACTGCATATACAATGGTGGTCCTATAAGACTATAATGGCTGTACCATGACCTGACAAAGCATTTCTCAGAACATTATCCCCATCATTAAGCAATGCATGACTATATATGAAAAAGTGTTCTTACCAATCATCAGGGAAATAAAAATTAAAACTACTACAGATACAACATACCCACCAGAATGACTAAAATGTAAAAGACTGACAATACCAAGAGTGAATGAAGGTGTGGAGTGAGAGGAACTCTTCCACACTGCTGATGGGATTAGAAATAAGTACAACCACTTGAGAAATTGTTTGGCATTAGCTAAATTGACCATTCACATACCTTATTCATTCCTAGGTATATAATCAACAGAAACGTTGTAACATATGCATCAAAGAAATCTACATCAAAATGTTGTAACATATGCATAACAATCTAAAATGGAAATAACCCAAATCTTACCACCAGTAGAATGAATAAATACATTGTGGTGTAGCCATAAAATGGAGTTTTTATATACAAATAAAAATAAAACTACTGCTAAAGGCAACAACTTAGACAAATATCACAAACAATGTGGAATGAAAGAAATCAGAGACAAAAGAACAAATGTATGATTCCATTTACACGCAGTTTAAAATCTGGAAAAACCAATAGGTTTAATGGTTACTTTGGGAAGGAGTAGTGTAGTAGCATAGTGTCAAGGGGGACTGCTGGAGAGCTGGTAATGTTCTATTTCTCGAGCTGGGCAGTGATTACACCAATGTGTTCACTTCGTGATAAGTGAGCCAAACATTTATAACTGGTGTGTTTTCCTATATGTGCATTATATTCCAATTAAAAAGTTAAAAGAGCAAAACAAAGGGCTGAAGGGCTGAAGGGCTGGAGTCCACTCCTTCCTACCACTAGGAATGCAGAGGAAATGATTAAAGCTGGAGCAGCCACCTTAGACACAGGTGGAAGCTATACACTGAGGATGGTAGAGGTACCTACTCAGCTGAGGACCTTTTGCCTCTGAGATGTTACATGAGAGAAATAAAATTCTATGTTGTTTAAGCTACAGAGTTTTTACATCTATTTTTTTGTTTGTTTGTTT